TCCAAACTTTATTTCTAGAGCAGAACAGAACCAAACCTCAGAACACGACCAGACTGGATCAAACACAGACGCTCACATTAATAAAATAGAACATATAAGAAGCACAGCGATGCTAAACATGTCAGACGTTTACAGGCACAGCAATAGAGGTTAAACATCCATTTTAAGCAGAAAACTTTTATTATTGACAAATTCTCCTTGGTTCACTGAAGAACCTTGAAGGATTAAATAGTGGATCTCAGTGGAGGAGCTGCTTCTATCTAAACTACACATGGATCCTGCACTGATCTCCTGCCTGCAGCTCCTCCCTCCTCACATCAGAGCTGATCTTCTACGGAAGAACCCGTCTACCACAGCTTAGTGCATCTATGAAGGTAACACCCAATGCAGTCATGATGTGACCTGTTGGCTGGTGGAGCAGTTGGTCACCTTCAGACTAATGAATCAAACATCAGATCAAGGAAGTTATCTAAAGGCACTAGTGGACCAATCAACATCCAGAACAGAATTCAAGAGGCTGAGCTCCTCATCCTCCCTCCTTTATAGATGAGCAGCTCTGCCATCCTGGAGACACTCAGAGAAAAGCTGCTTCCCCTCCATATTAGGAGTTGGTTGAGGAGGCTGATGCTTCCATAGGGAGGAAGGCCTCAGACTTCCTTAGAGGAGCAGGAGGAGGTGTCAGGGGGATGGAATACTGGGAATCTCTGCTTTAACTACTCCCCATGTGACCCGGTCTCAGATAAGCAGAAGATGACTGGTCCAAGTCCTTCACAGCCAGAGAAGAATGTTGACGGGCATCAAGTCACAGAATATACGTTTCTATGAACCTAAAATAGTTACTGTAGTGGATATTTTCATGCCACCATCAAGTTATTCCTGGTTAGGAATAGGGATGGGGATCGAAACCCGGTTCTATCAAGGACCCGGTTCCACTTTTTTCAAAACCCGAAAATCAATAACGTTTGGGCTTATCGATACCACTATCGAGTCTGGTCGTTTTTTTTTCTTCCGGAAAAATCATCTCTTTTAAAGGGGGGAACCTCAATGGCCAAGCACATTAGTATTGTGCATCAAATAAAGGCCAAATGCAGCACCTTCGACTGTCTCCGGGTTGAAAAGACTCCTCCTCCTCCTGCTGCTGCCGCCGCCGCACCACAGTCGGGCCCGTCTTCATCATCCACTCAGAGTACCACTGGTCAGCGCGCACACAGACTTTGTAGCTTGTCCGCTCAGTTGAAAATAGTAATTGTGAAATCCGTGTTGTAATCGGCAGCATACAAGCTAGTTAGCTTGAAAAGTAAATAAAGTTTCAGACGTGCTGCGTGATGATGTGTTCAGATTGGCTCAGTAAAACGACAATTAGGTTATCATGATGCGTTCAAGTGTAACGTAAAGAAAACGGGAAATTGAGTTTTTGGCGATAAACATCAGTAATACAGTTGTATATTGCTCTATATATAATTAAACTACTGATGCCAACATTTATTAAAAATTACATTTAATTTAAAATACAATTATTTATTTGCTAAATATTTTCCTAATCACTAAAAACATGATGAAAAGTGACAGTAGACAATACATTAACCAACAATTGTGAAAATGTATATATTATGTTAAACCAAAAGAAGAAATTCCTTCAAAATATAGGACATTTCTTCAAATAATTTTTTTCCCCACTTCCTTTCTGTCTGTTAAAAACATATTGTCGCATCGTCTTTCCACCAAATAACAGAAAAGTATCGATAGTGGTATCGATAAAGGTATCGATATCAATAAACATTAACAATCCCCTTACCTAGTTAGGAAAGTAAAATTCAGCAGGTTGGATTGTAAAGGTTTCCAATCCAGTAAATGTGTTTCATTACATATTTATTAAGCATACAATGTAATAATAAAATCACCAAATATTTCCCTGCAGTCACCTTCATACAGATAAACATGTGGTCTTGTACATCTCTGCTCATGATCAAAAACCTGTATCCATATTTTACGTTCCTAAGATTCCTTTTAGGTTTGGGGAATCAGATAAAACTCTTTTCCAGCCTCTTAATGTTCAGAGTAACACGTCAGATTCTCATGATCCCCTCTGAAAGGATGTTTTTATAAAAAATCTTAGGTTTGAATGTGTTTTTAATAAAAAATCCCAATAATGTGGTGCAGAAAACTGTGTTCACTAACTGATTAACTGCTGATGAGCCTCCTTGATGGATTTGCTGACCGCTTGGTGTCAATTCTGGTGTCCCACAGGGATGATTTCTTGGATCCTTAATGGAGTTTTATTCCTAAAGACTTGGGAATACAAATTCTAACAAAAATAGAAAAGTTCGTATTTGCTTCTTAGCTTCATCTGAAGAACCTTATTTTTGTCCAGCTGTTGAGTTGAAGTCTGAGCGTTCATCTGTTTCCTCTCCAGCTCCATCCATTATCAGAAACTCCATCATGAACCGTGATGGATTTAAAATTAAAATCCTAAAGCGGTTCTAAATTCTTCAGACAAAGTGTTTCCTCTGTTAAAGTCCCTAACCAGTCAGAGGGGATCCAGACCCAGACTTCATCACCTCTGCCTCCATCTGTCATCATTTCAACTCCTCTCCCTCAAAGACCAAGTTAGAACTAGTTTATTTCTACATCAGATCACATCTGCAGGAACCGACCATCTGCTGAACCTTCAGCTGGTTCCACTGAGCTCTGTAGGTAATAAGAAAAGAAACCATGTAGCCAATCAGGTGCAGAGACAGACCTGCTTTATGGCTGATAGTTTATTTTCCACTGATCCAGAATAAACTGGGAGCTATGGGAGCAGAAATAATCAGACCTCTAAAGAGAATGAAGGTCTTCAACTTCATCACAGAAACACTTTAACTGAATCTGAATCTAAAACCAGAAAAATCCCACTGTGCTCTTTCATTATTCTTCCTTTATGGAATGAAATGATCTTGGGGTCACCAACCTGTCCTCCACTCTTCACCTGCATTAACTCCACCTGCTGGAAACACGTTATTTGAATAAAGGACACCTGTCCACTTAGACTCCAACCTGTCCATCATCATCAGACCAAAGAGCTGTGAGGAAGCAGAGACAGTAGACCAGTTACAGGACGACAGTTCAGCAGCCCGCTGAGAGGAAAACATCTGCTGGGAGAAACTCTAGATGAGCATCAGCTGCATCATCCTGGGGTTCTACAGGCATGGCCTAAAGTTTTCATGCTTATATAAATGACGGACTCTCAAAGTTCATGTTGTTGTTTAACAGCTCCATAAAATGATATCGTTGAAAGATAAAGAGAAAATCGAGAAGAACAAAATAAATGTATCCACACACCCCTTCTGCTATAGGCTTAAGCTGCTGGAGGACCACTCTTCATCAATCTGCTTCATTCTTTCGCTATTCTCTAATTCTGGTCTGTTGCCTTTTGGCTGTGAAATCATCCTGGAAAGACATATCAGCTGAGCTGCTGCTCTCAACACCCCTTTTGTTAGTATTTATTCCTGTTTCTCTCCTAAATATAGCAATGGGCTCAGCTTTTATTGAGACTAATATTCACGTGCTCTTTCACCCCTAACAAAAATATGGCTGAGCTCATCTGATTAACCATTTCTTTCCCAGACAGAACCAGCTATGAAACTAGCTTACATTACATTTTCTAACATATAAAGTATTTATAGATCAGTGCTTCATGTTCCTTTTCTATGTTCGCTTCTATCTTCTTTAACCCCAGTCAGTCCCATCCGATGGCCGCTCACACTGAGCCTGGTTCTGCTGGAGGTTTGTTCCTGTTAAAAGGGATTTTTTGTTCTCCACTGTCCCTGCATGCATCGTCTGTGTAAAGGTTTGCTTTACAGTAAACGGTACAATGCAAGTAACGTCCCAAATCATCATCCAGGAGGAGGGAATCCTGAAAAGCCAATGATTTAAATGTTTTTCTTCAGATAGAGACCTTTTTAATCAATCTGACTGGTTCTGGTTGAATTTTCCCTGTAAGGTGCTGTAACATGACGTCTTTTGAAGTGGTGCTATGTGACTGGCGACCTGTCCAGGGGGTACCCCGCCTCTCACCCATTAAAAGCTGGAGACAGGAATCAGCACCCCTCATGACCCCAGCAGGTATAAGCGTGATGGAAAATGGATGGAGGGAATCTAAATTAAATTCCACTCTGCGCTTAGGAAATCCACCAATTCTTCTAATAAATAATATTCTTTATACTTTAAATACAGAGATCTAGTGGATATTTGGAGTCTAAAAAAAACAACAGCGGGAAATGAATGAACATGAAGTCATCTCTTATCGAAACACTGATTGTTAAAGTTTGTTGGATGTTCATCACAAGCAGGGGTGTGGGAAATAATCATTTTGGCGATATATCGTGATATTCGGCTGCCCAATATAATATCGATCTTTCACTTCTTAGTATCGATTTTCAAAAAAAAAAAATGGTTACATAAAACATTGATGGGAAAATGGGCTACCTCTGCACCACCACTCTGGCAGAAAGCGCTGTGGAGCCCTTTAACTGTGCGTGCAGCACCAAATCTGTATTTGAGGCAGTCACAGTGGAAGAAAACCCCAAACAACATGGATAATAATACCTAATCAATATTTTCTGATGAAAATATACAGCACTTGCTGTTTTATCTCATCATTTGATTTTGATAGCTGGGGAAAATATGGAAATATATAGTGATACTGCAATATCGTGATAATATCGTTTCGTGACCCAAGTATTGCGACATGTATCGAATCGCAACACTCATACCAATACTCACCTCTAATCACAAGTAGAGTAGACTTCATCTGAGTAGCTAAAACAAAGTAGATCCTACATCACTATATGATAAACACTTTCCATATGTCCCACTGTGTATTGCTGTCCTCTGAACATCAGCAGGCATACATGAGGTGGCGTTAAATATGCTAAAGCTGTTGCTACTGATAGAAGGGCCACCTGCAGTAGGTTAATGAAGTGTCCAATGTTCTCCTGGTATCAATGGCCCAAAAGAACCGCCTGAAGGTCCAGTTTAGTTTAACTCATTCAGCACAGGATCAGAAAACCACATGTTTTCACTCTGCAGGTCAGACCCTGTGGGAGTGCTTCTTGTGGCACAGCAAGTGGCTGGATTGTCTGAAGGCTTTCCCACACAGTTTGCAGGAATACGGCTTCTCCCCCGTGTGCGTCCTCATGTGGAAGCTCAGCCCCGTCCCTCCAGTGAAGGTTTTGTGACACACTTTGCAGGTATACGGCTTCTCTCCCGTGTGACTCCTCATGTGGATGTCCAAAGCGCTCCTCCTGACGAAGCCCTTCCCACACACACTGCAGGGGTAGGGCTTCTCCCCTGTGTGAGTTCTGACGTGACAGGTCAGGGTGTTGCTCTGTCTGAAGGTCTTGTTGCAGATGTGGCAGGAGAAAGGCTTCTCCCCCGTGTGCCGCCTCAGGTGGCGCACCAGGTGACTGTTCAAGCCAAACTTTTCCCCGCAGATCTTACAGGAGAAGGGCTTCTCACCGGTGTGCGTAATCATATGGCGAAAGGCACTGTCCCTCCGGGCAAAGCGCCGCGTACAGAGCTCACAGGAGTAAGGCTTCTCGTTCTGGTGCGTGTCTCGGTGGTCTTGTAGCAGCAACATGTTAGAGAACTTTTTGCCACAGGTCTTACAAACAAAGGGTTTGGGTTCATTTGAGTCTTCGGACTGCTGGGAACTGCTTGGTTCTGGTTCACTCTGCTCCTCTTCATCATAGTTAACGGTCACCATGAAGAAGTCTGTCTCTGGTCTATGTCCAGCGAGACTGGAGCCCACTTCTTCCTGCTCTTCTTTAATCTGGAGCGACCCTGGTTTCTTTGAATCCACATTGAGGAACTTTTCGGGCTCAGTTGGAACGTCTTCCTGATAAACATGGTTCTGTTCTGTTTCATAGAAAAAAAAAAAAAGAATCAGAAAAAAGTAAGTTAGTCCACAGAGCTAAACCATAAAAAAAATAGACAGTGGAGACTCAGCTGGTTCTGCACTAACGGGTCGACTAGGAGGAGCTCAGGTCTGGTCACTCTCCACCAATCAGAACACTGAAAAACTGGATCTGCTCCTCCTCAGCTTTGGTCATCTGAGTGTCTGCTGAGTTTGGAAAAGAGGTCCAGATATATTCCTAGTATAAACTAAAGGAACCAGAACCACAGCAAAGGTCTGTTCCTTCACAGAACCACAAACAACTATTGACTCCTGCAGGTTACCCACCTGGTATCTGGTTGCTCAGGTGCCAGGTCTGAGACTTCCAAACGGTTGGAGGATTTCCCAACACGAACGGCCTGACTGATGTCAGTGAGAACCATCATCTCAACCAGCTTTAAATCTAGACTTGGCTTAGACCACAGACCGAAGGTTACATATGTAACCACGGTTCTATGAATCCCGGATGACTGCGACAGGCGGTGCTTAAAGCACTGAATGATCACTCTTGCGCAGGTCGAGAATTAGTATCAACAAAGTCACCTGTGACCTACCGGTGATCAGCGGAAGCCTATATAGGCACGTGACACCGGTAATTCAGTCCCTCAATCTTCTTGTGAGCCAGCGAAACCGAGGGACCAAACCCTCTGGCTTAAAGCACTGAATGACGTACTAGGTCCCGAGGGATGCAGAAGTAAGGAACAACCCATTGGAACCCGGCAGCAGCCCCTACCTTAGTGGGATGCAGCCGGTGGTTACTGCAGGATGCCCTGAAGAGGATGAGGCGTAGCCATGTTCACTCTATAAAACCTCATGAAAGTGGTCGGCACAGACCATGAGGCCGCCTCGCAGATTGACTCCAGCGGCACCCCCATCACTGCAGCCCATGAGGTTGACAGGCTCCTTGTAGAATGGCATCGCACCCCGAGGCAGGGGCTGACCCTGCAGAGAGTATGCCACAGTTATCGCCCCCATGATCCAACATGCCAACCTTTGTTTGGAAAGGGCATGACCTCGCCGAGGGCCACAATGGCATACAAAGAAGCTGTCAGTCAGCCAAATGGTCGCTGTGGTGCGAACATAGGCCTCCAGCGCTCTGACTGGACACAGAGCTTCAGAAGGGGTCCCGGGCTCGAAGCGGGACAGCTGAAGCGGCAAGACTGTGCCTGCTACCGTGGGGGCCTTCAGAACAAAGGAAGGGTAACTCCTGGGCCATCTGGGTTCCACCGACAACAAGGCTCGGATACAGACAGAGCATTCAGCTCCCCCACTCGTCTACCAGAAGCCATGGCGAGCAGGAAGGCAGTCTTCATGGAAAGCCATTCTAGGTCCACTGTCACAATCGGCTCAAAAGGTGGGGAATACAGAGCTTGAAGCACCAAGCCAAGATCCCAAGTAGGAGCCATCCAATGCCTCGGAGGAAGCAAACGTCTGGCACCCCTCAGGAACACTGCTATGTCCCTTCACCTTCCCACAGAGCAGCCACTGAACCCAGTGTGCCAATGGGAAATGGCAGCCACGTAGACCTTCAAGTTTGAAGGGGACTGCCCACGGTTAAGTAACCCTTGAAGGAAAGCCAGTAATGGTTGAATGGGACAACGTATGGTGTCCAGCCCCCTATTGTCACACCAGGTAGAAAAAGCCGCCCATCTGGCAGTGTAAGCAGCCCGGGTGGATGGTGCCCATGCCCAAGTCACTGTGTGGCCCACGTCACCCCCAAATCGGGAGAAGGCTGGGTTGGACCCTGCAGAGGCCAAAGCCAGAGCTGCAGGCAGTCTGAGTCGGGGTGGAGAACCCGACCCCTCAGTTGGGACAGGAGGTCCCTCCTGGATGGAAGGCGCATCAGTGAGCTGTAACAAAGCCTTAGCAGCAGAGGAAACCAAGTCCTCGCCGGCCAGAACGAGGCTACCAGCAGGAGCCTGTGCCCTTCCTGGAGAACTCGCAGTATGGTCTGGGGAATCAGGCCCAACAGGGGAAAGGCATACAGGAGAGTTCTGGGCCAGTCGTGGGCCAGCGCATCGCACCCCAGAGGACAAGAACTGTCTGACAGAGAGAACCAGAGGGGACAGTGGGCCGGGTCTCTGGAGGCGAAGAGATCCACACCTGCTCTGCCGAATGTCCCCCAGATGTGATCTACCACCTCGGGGTAGAGCCGCCACTCCCCCGGAAGAGGCGAATTGCGGGAAAGAAAGTCTGCGGGTCCGTTGCGCCAGCCCCGGATATAGGCCGCCCTGAGACTGGTGAAGCGAGATGAGGCCCAGACCAGGAGCCGGCGTGTTAGGGACAGCGGTCTTGGGGACGTGGACCCACCCTGGTCAGAGTGGAGAGCACCCAAAGATCTGGGGTGCATTTGCCTCGTTCGAAAGCTGACCTGGGGTAAAATATCCAGCCACCGGCCCCAATGTATCACCTCGGGGCCCCTCTGAGGCCTAGGGGCGGGCCGAACTGGTTCCGCAGCCCGAAAGGGGTGCGAAGCCCGAGCCTTCATCTGGGCTTGCTCTGAGGACAGCTGATCCACCCTTGAAGACAGCCCACCGTTCGAATGGCGGGACCTCTTTGCCGCCGTAAACGGAACATCTGTTGCGGAACGTTTGGGGTGTACCCCCTGGTCAGGGGGCAACTGTTCCTCATGATGAGAACCCATCCAGGGGATGGTCTGTTAAATTGAGGACAGCTGGGCCAGCCGCGCCGCATGGGGGAGAATGCTGCAATTGGAGCAGGCGGCATCGGTAAGCGCCTCCTTTAGGTGGTCAACACCCAGATAAGGGGGGCACAGGTCATAACCATCCTCAGGTTGCAGAGGAGCCAAGCAGGTGGAACAGGAGAGATGTTCCATACCCTGGTGCTAGCTCGACAGGGCAGAAATTGCCCCTAGTGAGGTAAATGCAAACAGCAACTAGCTGTTTCAATTATGCCCAACCAAGGAACTCAGCACGGGCAGAGAACGCCAGTGGCGAGGTAAGTAATAACAGATAACCATATATTTCAATCCCGACAAACCAAAGAACTCAGCACTGGCAGAAAATGCCACAGGTGAGGTAAGTAATAACAGATAACCATATATTTCAATTCAGACAAACCAAAGAACTCAGCACTGGCAGAAAACGTCACTGGTGAGGTAAATAAAATGAGCAGTAGGCACAACAATCGCCCCTGGAGGGCGAGCATGCCCGCAGCTCCGATCACAAACGATCACGGGGCTACTAGCAGCAAGCTGACAGAGGAAGCGGTTATACAGAGAAACTCAAGCGTCTGTAGAAAGAAATAGCTCACAAAAAACCTGCATGCGAGAAGATGAGAAGGGACTGAACTACCGGTGTCACATGCCTATATAGGCTTCCGCTGATCACCGGTAGGTCACAGGTGATTTTGTTGATACTAATTCTCAAATGCAAGAGTGATCATTCAGTGCTTTAAGTGCCGCATCTGGCAGTCAGTAGGGAAGAAATATAACTTTTTTTTCTTCAGCAGAACTTCAGTGAGCTTCAGCTTAGGGTCATAATCTACCAGGCAGAGATTCTGGAGTTAGCATCCTGGTCATTAAGGGCTTACACCCCCTACTAAATACTATTTCCCAACCCTAAAAGACCTGTTTCTCCTCTAGAAATTCAGAACCCAAAATATTTTTTCTGGTCCAAATTAAACCACAACCAACAGCTGAACCTAAATATGGACTTAACAGACCCGAACGGCTCTATTTAGGCCCTTAATAATCTGCATTAAATGGGTTCAGATTAGGGCAGTGGGCTAGTCTCTGTTCCAGACCTGTTGGGTCATTCGGACAAGTACAGTGTTTCGTACCTGGTATTTGGACGGTTGCCAGGTAGTCTTCAGAACTCCCTGATGGTTCTGCGCTATTGGACTCTCTATGTCGCGGCACAAAGGTATCAAACTCCTTCCTAAGTAGCAGACCCTCATCGTCATGTCGGGTCCAGAACTCCAATTTTCTGGATTTATTCTGGGGAGATTCTGGGTCTTCTGATTCCTGATTATCTTCTGGTTCCAGGAGTTCTGGTTCCTCCAGGTCCTCCTCGGTGTCCAGGTACTCCAACTCGCCCAAGTCGTCTATAATCTGTGGACATCCTGGTTCTGACAGGGCCTCTTCGATGTCAAAAGGTCCTAACTCGTCCAGGTCGTCTATGATCTGCGGACTGTGTGGCTCAGCCAGGGTCTGGTCCATTTGCAGAGGTTCTGGTCCACACGGTTCATCTCCATTCTGAGGAGATTCTGGATCATCCAAAGCTTCTTCTCCCTGCAAAGGTTCTGGCTGCTGCTGAGCCTCTTCGGTCTGTGGCGGTTCTTGTTCTTTGAGGTTCTGTGTGAAGTCAGGGGGATACAGCTCCACTTCCTCCTCTTTAATGCGTGGAGGTTCTCGTTCTGTGAGGTTCTGTGTGAACTCAGGGGGATACAGCTCCACTTCCTCCTCTTTAATGCGTGGAGGTTCTGGTTCCACCTTGTCCTGAACACAGAGACTCCCGTAGTCGGTCAGAACCTCTTCCTTATAAACTCGTCTGGGAGGAAGTCCTGAGGAGACAGAGAATATCATCATGATCATGGCAATCCAAAAGATGTTCTAAACTTCAGAACCACCAACAATGCAACACCAGGATTAGTCTTGTGTTCTGATAACTGAATCTGGTTCTGACTGATGGGTTCATACAGAACAATGATGTGTTCAGTCCAAACAGACTGAGTCCAGTTCCACCAACAAAACGGTATCAGAACCTGCCAGTAACACCTCCCGCTATAGAGTGGCAGTAACGGGGGTTTGCTGTGTGGCACCAGACCTCAGTTTCTGCGACCCGACCCGCCTTAAGCACCAACTTTTTGTGGCGTTATAAAGAGAAGAGCAAAACTCTACATGTTCAGAACTCTAGAATTCAGAACTCTAGATGTAGAGTTTTGAAAGCCTGAGGGCGAGCAGCTCAGGAACCCCCCATGGACTCGTTTCATGGCCGTCAGGACATTTTAAACCTGAATATTCTGTTATCAATAATAAGGCCTAATTTCTTTCACCGCTTTGTTCTTTCTACGTCCTTCAGTATATCATCGTCTGTCTGCTTGTTTGTTTCTCAAACAAGACAGTGATGAACCTGACAAATGAAGATGTGGATGAAACTTCTATCTCATACCCCTTTCCCACTGGCCAGTCGGTCTGATCTAACAAGCAGAAACACTCTGTTTCCATTCGATAAACATGGAGCAGCTCTGGTGAGACAGAATCAGACAGATAATAGAGAGAAACAATAAATAACACTGACTAGGCCGTGGCTTCCTTCCATGTTGCTCTCCATTGTTTACTTTCCTGGTTTCTGTCGCACTAGTGACATCATCAGTGCTAACCCACGTGTCACCACGCATGCAGCTGTAAGAGGTCAGAGGGCACGGAGCTGCCAGCAAGGGGTTAGACCAGCTTTTATTGCCAATGGGAAGGGAGCCAGATGCCGATTGTTAGCGAGTCGACACATGTTTAAAAAACATATTTTCATTGGGAAAGAGGCTTTACAGTGAAGCTGATTCTGATTTCTCACCAGGAAAACCTAAAATAACAACAATCACATCTGGAGGTCGTCAAAAACATTTAAACACAGAAAATAAAACTGTTGCTGCTGGAAAATAAGATTAAGCGAAGAAACAGGAAACAGGATTTTAAGCTGGAGAAAACGGAGAAGACAGGATGAAACGAAAGGACTGGAGACGGTCCGAATGATCGACTCGAACATAATAATTTAACTTTATTCATCTCACAATGGAGAAATTCACTTCTTGATATTCTGGACTAAATCATAAACCAATCAAATCAAATCCTGAATCAGATTCAATCAGGCCTTCATGAATAAATAGATCTAGGAAATCAGACCATCTTCAGCGCCAGCTGTTCGATGGAGACTTTTCTATGAAGCAGTCGGACAAGATGAAACGAAACCCTGAGAGATGCTACATGCTAAGCTAACGCTACGAGGTCAGTGTGAGGAACAAACAGGAAGAGATCGGTAAAGCACCTGTTTCAGCTACAGGCATGGCCAAAAGTTTTGAGAATGATTCGTGTGTTAATATTTACAAAGTCTACGGCTTCAGTTTTTATAACGGCAATTTGCATAAACTCCAGAATGTTCTAAAGCAGTGGTCTCCAACCCTGGTCCTCAAGATCTACTATCCTACAGATTTTAGATGCATCCTTGCTTCAACACAGCTGAATCAAATGATTGATTACCTTTTCAAGCCATTCATTTGATTCAGCTGTGTTGAAGCAGGGATGCATCTAAAATCTGTAGGACAGTAGATCTTGAGGACCAGGGTTGGAGACCACTGTTCTAAAGAGTGATCAGCGTAAGCCAATATTTGCCTAGAAAATGAACTTTATCCCCCAAAACACATTTCATCATTGCAGCCCTGCTTTAAAAAGAGCAGCTAACATGGTTTCAATGATTGCTCCATTTACACAGGTGTGCGTGGTGATGAGGACAGGGATGGAGATCAATCTGTCAGGATTCAGTCAGAATGACACCACTGGACACTTTAATAAGAGGCTGGTGCTTAGCATAACTGTTTCTCTGCTGTGAACCATGGTTATCTCCAAAGAAACACGTGCAGTCATCATTGCACTGCACAAAAGTAGCCTAACAGGAAAGAGAATGGCAGCTAGAAAGATTGCACCTCAGTGAACAATCTATGGCATCATCAAGAACTTCAAGGAGAGAGGTTCCATAGTTGCCATAAAGGCTCCAGGGCACCCAAGAAAGACCAGCAAGCGCCAGGGCCATCTCTGAAAAGTGTTTCAGCTGCGGGATCGGGCTGCCAGCGGTGCAGAGCTTGCTCAGGAATGGCAGCAGGCAGGTGTGAGTGCATCTGCACGCACTGTGAGGCGGAGACTCTTGGAGCAAGGCCTGGTCTCAAGGAGGGCACCAAAGAAGCCACTTCTCTCCAGGAAAAACATCAGGGACAGACTGATATTCTGCTAAAGGTACAGGGAGTGGACTGCTGAGGACTGGGGGAAAGTCATTTTCTCTCATCAATCCTCTTTCCCATTGTTTGGGACATCTGGAAAACAGCTTGTTGGGAGAAGACGAGGTGAGCTCTACCACCAGTCTGGTCTCATGCCAACTGTAAAGCATCCTGAAACCATTGATGTGTGGGGTTGCTTCTCAGCCAAGGGAGTCGGCTCTCTCACAGTCTGACCTAAAAACACAGCCATGAATAAAGAATGGAACCAGAATGTCCTCCGAGAGCAACTTCTCCCAACCGTCCAAGAGCAGTTTGGTGATGAACAAAGCCTTTTCCAGCATGATGGAGCACCTTGCCTTAAGGCAAAGGTGATATCTAACTGGCTCAGGGAACAAAACAGAGATGTTGGGTCCATGGCCTGGAAACAAGCATTGATTGTGAAAGAATGGACTGCTGTCAGTCAGGATTTGGTCCACAAGTTGATTGAGAGCAGCCAGGGAGACTAGCAGAGGTCCTGAAGAAGAGGGGTCAACACTGCAAATATTGACTCACTGCATTAACTCATTCTGTCATTAAAAGCTTTTGTTACTCAGAATATGACTGCAATTGTATTATTGTATGTGATGACAACGTCTGACATACACACACGAAAACCAGAGGGCAGCAGATCATCTGGAAATATAATATTTGTGTCATTCTCAATCCTTTTGGCCATGACTGTAGATCCTGTTCCTCACAGCTGAAGTGTTCCTACGATGTACTCTAGACCTGAGACAGCTGATGGATCAGATCCATATTTCCCACAGATTCCATGCAGCGTATCAATGGAAACCACATTTACTGCTGAAATGAGTCCATTCTTCACTGAGATAAAAGGAAATGTGTCATCATGTGGGAAAGCTTCCTTTTAAATCCTAACATTTTATTCTCCAGTTTTTGGATTTTCTTTTCTTTGTGTTGAATAGGGCTGGGTACCGATCATGGGTTCTTTTATGGTACCGACCGAAATGCTTCGGTTCTACAGAGTATCGAAACCTGCCTCGTCTTTCGGTACCAAGTTTCGGTGATTGGCTGTAACACTTAACCTGATTGCGTCATCCAGGAAAAATACACAGGTGGTCCCGCCTACAGCCAGGGTTCATGTGTATCTGTTGTGAACTGGTTGCAGCGTCGTGAAACCCCTTTAAAATGCCCCCCAGGTCAAAAGTGCGGCTTCACTTTATTAAGACTGATGCCAATAGTGCGCAATGCAATACATCGTGCACGGAAACAATTTAAGAGCAGAAAGTTTCCCGGTGTTTGACTGCAAGAAGAGCGGACCGCAGCCAGCGCAGCCATCCTCCTCTCAGCAGCCCGTGGGCGGAGCAAAGCCAGAGCGGAGTGGATCATGCTGCTTTCACTGGACGCAGCAGGAGCAGCAAAATCGCGTCTGCTGCTTCATTTTTTGCTGCTTGTACCAGCTTCTGACGTGCGGCTGAAGCAGCTTTGCTGCTCTGGCTCTCTGACGCATGTTGGGCGGAGCTACTCTATCCTTTATTTGCCTTGCAGCTATATTTGCTGTGATCAGTGGGAATAAAGTAGTTTTATTATGTATTTAAGTTGGAAAATCCCCCTGAAAACTTAATCAGTGCAGTCAGTTCATCCTGCCTTCCAATATTTCTGTGGGAGCCGCTCAGACCCCCACATACCAGCGGTGTGCTGTCAGTAGGATCCCATTCAACGGGCTTGTTTGTCTCCTGAGAAAGCAGACATGGTAATTTTTCTAAAGGAAAACTGCTAAGTAAAAAGGTCCTTACAATGTAACTGAATATTAGACACTGAATTTTTTTTTTATGTAAGAGGAAAAATGTAAATGGAAAAATTAGAGCTTAAAATAAAACTCAAAATTTGTACTTTTTTATGTTGTGTAATTTTCTTTTTCTTCGAATTGATATTATAAAACTGGTATCGAAAAAAGTATCGCTCAGGAACCGGTATCGAAGTGAAGGTATCGGTATTGGTACCGGAACCGAACATTTTTGAACAATACCCAGCCATAGTGTTGAAGGTTGAGCTTCAGATAATAACAACTGGATGCTGCTTCACTTAAAGGCTTTAAATCTTTCTTTTCTCATTTCCACCAATCAGTTCCAGTCTTGGATGTTTTGATCTGAATCCTTCCTCATGTTGCTCCTTTTTTCCAATGCTGTTCTGATGTCTGAGAGCGACTCATTTTGATAGCATCTCCTTAAATGAAAATCAGGCACTTTACCCCCGACCAGCTCACAGAGCCTTTCACTCTCTCCATTTACGACATTTTTAGTTTGATAGCAGAGGTACGATTACCTAGCGGCACAGAAACTGGGGGTCGACGTAATGAGTAAGGCTGTGTTTAAAAAAAAAAGATTTCACAATTTAGATTCTAAATTGTGTTTGTCTAAACGTGTTTGGATAGATCTAGATAGATTCTCATTAACTGCTAAAGATTGATATAATCAAAGACTGATTTAACAGAGTATGCATTTTTCATTGTCCTTGAGTACCATTAATTTATTAGCTAACGGCTACAAAACTTCTTTTAAACTAGCAATCCACTTTAAGACCGGAACAAACCAAAAATAGATGTAAATAACAGAATGATGTAACGTATTACACTTCAGGGGTTGACGTTAAGGATTTTTACCACTTGCCCTTTGGGCAAGTGAATTTCACATTTCATTTGCCCAAAAACAATTTTCACTTGCCCAGTAAAATGTTTGATAAATATAGTTCCTAATATTCATTTTTGTAAATATATCAATGACTGTTTTTTGTAATTCAGTATTTTTTAAGTTTCCAGGTTCCTGGTGTGTATGTGCATGCGTCAGATAATGAACTCAAGCCTACATTACTGTGTTAACATGCTTTTAAATCCTTCCTGCACTTTCTTTTCAAACTAAACTTTGCTTTAAACTGTTGTGTGTTTGGAAAACTATAAATTGTGATGTTAAAAATCTAAAAAAAAACTTGACAGGTTAAAAACTTAAGATAAATCACAAGACAGAAGTCAATGTCACAAATGAATAACTTATTTTAGAGTCACGGTATGTTTATTCATTAGTCGCTCTAATGAGTAAGGCTGTGTTTAAAAAAAAAAAGATTTCACAATTTAGATTCTAAATTGTGTTTGTGTAAACATGTTTGGATAGATTTAGATCCTGCCTAAATTTCATAATACACTGAGCCGCTTCCTACTAGGGTTGTCAAAAGTATCGATACTAAAACGTTGTATCCGGATACGATACTCAATTTTAAAAGTATCGATACTACCACCGCCGCGCTGACCAGCCTTGGATATCCAACTCCTCCCACATGCCGTCGGTCAGCAGATATGGGATCTTCCTATTGGTGACCTAATCAAAATGGCCAACTTTGATGTGGGTGGAGTTACAGACTTAAGCGAGAAGCTACATGCTGCCGTGTGTATGTGAGGGCAGAGAGACAGCACAATAACAGAGGAGAGCATGGCCAGTGCTGCTGCAGGAGGGCCAAAACAACCAGTTTTGGTCGACAGTAGCTACGTTTACATGCGCAAAATTTCCCCGATCCGATCCAAACCTTGGTTGATCGGAAATTCAAAATCTCCGTTTACATGGACACTAAATGAAATGATCCGATCATGACGTGTGTATACATGTACCAAGCGTTGGATCAGATTAAATCTTTTAAGCATGCGCAGAACTCCCTGCCAAACTTGGCAGTTCTGTCTGCGTCTGGTTTTTGGGAGGCCTGACAAACGATGCGCTCGGAGCGAGCGGAAAGAAAAAAGGAGAGAGGAGGAAAAAAGCGCTTGGCAGCGAAATGTCCGAGAGAAAATGTAGAGAATGAGCGATTGAACCGGCGCGGGAGAGCGAGTGGGCTGTGGAGAGAGAAAAGAGGAAGAGGAGGAGGATAAATTCCTGCTTCCTGCAGCTTTAAATGAACTTGAGTGTATAAGTCGGCGTTCCTAGACTCCCCCCGCCATGTTGTTCACAGCGAGAGCGACCGGTGGTTTCCTGTTGTTGACAAGGTGGAAAAACGTCACGCTGACGTCGCACACATGCGCAGTGAAGATTATTTTACTCTTAAGATCCGAATGGGTGTTTACATGGACGCCAATCGGAATGGCGATCGGCAAAAACCACCTCTCTCATTCGGAATTAAATTTAGATCCGATCGGACCGAATCGGATTAGAATCTTCAGTCTGACATGTTTACATGAAACATTTTTGATCTGATCAGGCCTTCAATCCGATTAGTTGTGTCCATGTAAACGTAGCTAATGATAGAGGCAAGAGTCTGTTTAGAGGTATTTTGCCTTCGAGTCTGACGTGGAAGCCGGGCGTGTATTTGTCCTCCTTTACCCCAGATTCCACATACTCCGCCAGCGCTCCCCTCACGTACGGAGTCCTTGTCTTTCATGTAAATCAATGAGCGCTGTTCCACATCCTCCGCTCGTCACCGCCCACGTACGTCTTCTCCGTCCCTCACCGTCAAAATACGGAGCTGAGCTCTTTTTGGCTCCGCCCACAAATGCAATCGCACCAAACAGGAAGAAAAAAAATGTAGAGAAGACCCGGTTTGTCAAATTAAATTATAGTAAAAACAGGTCGGCATCTACAAAATATAACCCAAAAAACTAAGAGCAATTAATGAAATAATTGGATGCAGACTATTGGTGCTTCAACAGACCAGGAAGAAGTTGTGAGATTCTAGAGTGAATCTCACAACTTTAAAAGAAAATTCTTATTGCAGGAATGGATGAAGAGATGATGAGTTTGGAAGCAGAGAATAAACAGAGTTCATACAAACTATGGATGATCCTAGCTATTCCTGTTACAAAAATCCACAACAGAAAGAAAATATTTAGGCAGAAACTGAACATCTGCTGGATGATGATGGGGATTTTTTTAATATGTCGTATTAAATTAAACGTTCACAGGTTTTATACAGGAATGAGGAACTCTAATTTAATGCTCTTAGAAATAATTTTAATGCCATCAACAAGTTATTAGTTTACATGAAATACACTATATTGCCAAAAGTATTTGCTCACCCATCCAAATTATTGGAATCAGGTGTTCCAATCACTTCCATGGCCACAGGTGTATAAATTCAAGCACCTAGGCATGCAGACTGTTTTTACAAACATTTGTGAAAGAATGGGTCGCTCTCAGGAGCTCAGTGAATTCCAGCGTGGAACTGTGATAGGATGCCACCTGTGCAACAAATCCAGTCGTGAAATTTCCTCGCTCCTAAATATTCCACAGTCAACTGTCAGCTGTATTATAAGAAAATGGAAGTGTTTGGGAACGACAGCAACTCAGCCACGAAGTGGTAGGCCACGTAAACTGACGGAGCGGGGTCAGCGGATGCTGACGCGCATAGTGCGAAGAGGTCGCCAACTTTCTGCAGAGTCAATCACTACAGACCTCCAAACTTCATGTGGCCTTCAGATTAGCTCAAGAACAGTGCGCAGAGAGCTTCATGGAATGGGTTTCCATGGTCGAGCAGCTGCATCCAAGCCATACATCACCAAGTGCAATGCAAAGCGTCGGATGCGGTGGTGTAAAGCACGCCGCCACTGGACTCTAGAGCAGTGGAGACGCGTTCTCTGGAGTGACGAATCGCGCTTCTCCATCTGGCAATCTGATGGACGGGTCTGGGTTTGGCGGTTGCCAGGAGAACGGTACTTGTCTGACTGCATTGTGCCAAGTGTAAAGTTTGGTGGAGGGGGGATTATGGTGTGGGGTTGTTTTTCAGGAGCTGGGCTTGGCCCCTTAGTTCCAGTGAAAGGAACTCTGAATGCTTCAGCATACCAAGACATTTTGGACAATTCCATGCTCCCAACTTTGTGGGAACAGTTTGGAGCTGGCCCCTTCCTCTTCCAACATGACTGTGCACCAGTGCACAAAGCAAGGTCCATAAAGACATGGATGACAGAGTCTGGTGTGGATGAACTTGACTGGCCTGCACAGAGTCCTGACCTCAACCCGATAGAACACCTTTGGGATGAATTAGAGCGGAGACTGAGAGCCAGGCCTTCTCGTCCAACATCAGTGTGCGACCTCACAAATGCGCTTCTGGAAGAATGGTCAAAAATTCCCATAAACACACTCCTAAACCTTGTGGACAGCCTTCCCAGAAGAGTTGAAGCTGTTCTAGCTGCAAAGGGTGGACCGACGTCATATTGAACCCTATGGATTAGGAACGGGATGTCACTTAAGCTCATATGTGAGTCAAGGCAGGTGAGCAAATACTTTTGGCAATATAGTGTAAGGAGCTGTAAGCACATGAGATAGATAGATAGATAGATAGATAGATAGATAGATAGATAGATAGATAGATAGATAGATAGATAGATAGAAACACTTAAGTTCATTTGGTTATTTTTTTTTTTATCAAGCTTGCTTAATATTGTGCACAGAAGACTACCTCAAAATATTGTTCTTATTGTTTATTGTATTTATTTTTGGTATTTTATTTATTAATAAAAATATTTCTGTTGAATTTTGAGGTCTTTTTTTTTTCCTTGTGGTATCGAAAATGGTATCGAATATTTTCCTGAGTATCGGTATCGAGTTGAAAACTTTAGTATCGTGACCACCCTACTTCCTACCGACCAGTCATCACCGGTCTCTCCCTCTCCGCCCGATTCGCTATCATTGATACGTTTCTAAAGTCTGTTTTGCGGTGAGGTTTCTTCTGAAAGCCATTTTTTCGTGTTAGCCAAAGATTCCAGAATTATCAGCCCTTTAGCGTTAGCACATAGAGGCACCTCAGCCGGTATAATCAGATAAAACATCAGTTCTAGCAGTGAGAAGAGGTCAGTTAAAAGATATAACTGAACAAACCTGCAGCAGACTGCAGCAGACTCCCAGTTCCAGGTTAACATGTTTTCTTATTGAACAGAGAATCAGACTGCAGAGCTTCTACAGATCTAGAAATGTAGTTTCCAGCTAATATTAGTAAAGAGGTTTATAAATCTTTTTAAACAGAGAGAAACAGGGAGAGCTGCAGATTTACAGGAGAAACAGATTTACTGGGATATGCAACATGCAATAAAATATATATCCATGTTCACCAGAAGGAAAAATGCTATGAATAAAATGCAGCATTTCCAGATTTTTCTGCATGGAAATGAAATGATACATGATTAATTGATCTTGGCATCAGAATCAGCTTTTATTCATTGTTATTAATGTTTTTGGTTCTTATATATATAGTACACACTGAAAGGCATCTCTCTAACATCTATAAACATAAATATCAGTGTATTCTGGTTCTCTTGTTCTCAACAAATGGAAAGAATTCAATGGATAGATGTTTGAGCTCATTGTTGGAAAAACCTGATGAAAGCATTTAGGTGGAGTAACTGTAGTTCATCACATTTAGAACATCTAGTAATGTGGATCTAAGTGAGAGGAACCTCCAGAGATGCAGATGAACATCAGACCTACCGAGCCTCTGCAGCCTGACCTGCGGCTTCAGGCACACAGCTAGCAGCTTGCTCTGGGCGGCCAGCTCCTCCTCCAGGCGGATGATGGTTTTCTCCACCTCGGAGAAGATCTCCTCCGCAGCAGCATCCAGTCTCTGCCTGATAAAGTCTCTGAGAGGAAGAACTGAACCCATTCCTGCAGCTGCTGATCCAAACTGGCCTGAGATCCGACCGGACGGTCCACAAAGCAAGCTAGCTGCTAACAACTGCTCAGCGCTACTTCCGGGGGACCTTAGGGCGACAACTTCCGGACGGATGCGTCAGCGCTGCCGCCATCTTGGTAAGGGAGAAGGGCAGCTGGTTGAACCGCATTTATAGGATTAAAAACCTTAAGTAGAACATTTCACTGTTTTCTACATACATTTTCTATATTTGTGAAACTTGCCTTCTGCCAATAACTGCCTCAATCATTTACCAACACATCATATCTGAGGTTTTTGTCTTCTAAGAAGGGCTGTACCAAAACTTAGCTTGCTTTACCTGACCTTCCACCTTGCTCCTCTCCTTCCCCTTAGACACCGCTCCCTCTCTGGACTGGCAATCCTAAAATAGATTCTATTTAACAAGGTAAATATATACAGTGGTGCTTGAAAGTTACACACTCCCGATAAAGAAAGGATTAATTCACAACAGCAATTCTAATAAGAACCAAAAAAAGAATATACATTAAGACATACAAAATTATGATTTGATGGATTGAAATATTGGTTTTGAATTGTGATTTAAAAAATGATAAGACACATTAGAAAACCTTGCTCATGAACATTTCACCAACAAAACATCAACAGGAGCAGAAATCTGACTGAACAAAATGCCTGTTCTTCCAGCAGTCCACACTTTCTCTGCTCTCTTTTTCTCATGGTCTTCTCCTTCTTTCCCATCGCCCGGCTTGCCACAGGTTTGCCTGCTGTGTCTAAAAGTAGCAGCAGCAGCAACCCAGACTGACAGCTCATTGGCTCATTTGGATCACGTGCAGCCTGGAGCCGGACGCTCCCCAGGGCTTTACCGTAATAACAGGAGAAGAGGTGCAAGTGAAGTTAGACACTGTTGTAGGAACAACATGCGATAATAATGTTTTAAATCCGGTTGGATCCAGATTAGCCAGCAGGTGGCTCCGGATCCGGACTCTGGTCCACTAATCCGTAACCTCTGCATTAGGACCTCCATGATGCTGGTTTACCTGTTTTTTTGCTTGTTTGTTTATTATTCATATTTCTATTGAACCACAATTGAAAATTAATGGCACCATTTTTATCTGATTTTATATTTCACATGGAGACGTCTGTGCCACTGCCCCCCCACCAGGAGACGCTCCAGGATTAAAGGGGCGAATCGTTGGTGAATGGAGGTTCCTGGCTGCCCACCCTGCAGCTGACCCATGGTTACTGGAGGAGGTGCGACAGGCAGCATTGCCTAGCAGGATTTAACACCCTCCTGTATTATCCTTAGAGCGTGATATAAAGCGCTTGGTAGCTCTGTGGCTAGCTGTGCTCAGTAGCTAACAGGTTAGCCTCCTTTAGCTCACTCAGTTAGCCACATTAAGCTACACTACTTTTAACTAGTGTCAACAAGAACCGTTAGTTTCTACAAATAGAATAACTGTTTTTTTGTCTAAAATTTCAACAAAAGTACATTTTGAGATGTTCCATTTATCCTCCTCTGCCCTCAGATCTTCATAGAAAAGAATAAAAAAAGCTGAGACTTGTTCTGTCTCCATTTTAAATAGCAGAGCTCAGTCTGTCTTAGAAGGCAGGACTTTCCTTCAACACTGACAATGATTCTTTTCTACGTTCGGCTACTTAGGGTTTAGATTTGAAATAGTTTGGACAGGTAACCCTTGTCAGGGTTAGACTGAAAGGCTCTCACTGTAAAAACGAAAAAGTTAGTTCAACTCAAAATTTCAAGGCAACCGACTGCACAGAATTTTTGAGTTGAAGGCATCAACTTAATTTTTAAAGTTTTGTAGAACTACACTTATTAAGTTCTGCCAACTAAGTTTTTTTAATTCAAGTTACTGGAACTTTTAAGTCTGTAAAAACTTATTATTTTAAGTTCAGATTATCTGTAAAAAGTTATTTTAAATGCAGATTACCATCCCTGTAACAACATACATTTTTTTAGTTTAACCCCCCCCCCCCATTAAATCATCCACTGACAGTAAACCATCCATTTTCTTACACGCTTGTCCCGAGTGGGGTCGCGAGGGGTGCTGGTGCCTATCTCAAGCAGTCTATGGGTGAGAGGGTACACCCTGGACAGGTTGCCAGTCCATTACAGGGACACACAGGACATTCATTCACACACACACACCTAAGGACAATTTAGAGAAGAAGAAACTGGGAGAAAGCCGGAGTACCCAGAGAGAACTCATGCATGCTGAGGGAGAACATGCAAACTTTAGAAGGGAGCTCCTGGGAAAATCCATGGAAACCCTGTAGCAGCCGGTTGCCATGACAAATTTGAAATGAGCATGCGCAGATAAGTTGACCTCGCTCGGACTGGGTGTCAACTACAACTTCTAAGTAAACTCAACTTAATTTATAGAATAAGATGAACTTTTCATCAGAAACTTATGAACGTGAGTTCAACTGGCTCACAACAGACAGTTCAAGTTCCAACTGGCAATTTTACTGTCAGTGAATGCAAAAATCTTAGTAAGGTGAACAATTTTGAGTTGTCGTTTTTACAGGTTGGAGGTTTTCAGAGGGTTTAACTCAAACTAAGTGGCAAAGTGTGGAATTTTTTTTATTGCACAGTAAATTACTGAGTAAATTGTATTATAATTTATAGTAACTAAGTAACAATAATTGATCTGTAGTTATGTGGAAAATCTTCACACTATATCCATTATTTTCTATATTCTGGTGATTTTCAGAGAGCTGAAGTAAAGAAGAATGGGCCCTGTGAAAATAATTGCATCTTGAATATGCTGGAAACAAAACATTTTACAGTGTTGTTTAGTAATTATTCTATACAGTTCATGTAAAATAGACAACCGGGAACTAATATGTAATTGCTGTAGTACTGGAACTAATACGGGAACCAGTGCAATCAAATCCTGTGTAAATTACGCTGCATATGAGTATTTGGTAAAAGGCTAAGGATTAAAAAGCTTAACTCATTATCATATTAGTTTTTTTTTTTCTTCTAGGAAGCTGTAGAGTCTATAAAAACTCTCCAGTGGATGTTTCATTTTGGAAAATGTGATGAAAAGTAAGTTTTTAAACATATTTAATGGACCAAAATAAGGATAAATGATTGAAGATAAGTAAAACTAAAATGAGAACATTCCTGTAGTTCCTCCTCTATCAATCTGGGATAACTGAGTTGTTCTGCACCTCCTCTTTGTCTGTGAGGGCGCCATCATCCAGTAGGCGGAGCTCTCCTTGTGCTCTGTGTTCCAGCATTGTGTCAATAATAAGTGTTGCTGTGAAGAGAACAATAGTCAGACTGAATGTTGAACATCAGCTAGTTTCTCCTGCTGATTTAAACCTTGTTGGACAGATGGAACATTGGCTGTGGATTATTCTAGCTGCTCTTTTCTTTGGTAAGATAGAAAGCTCAACATGTTTCCTCTTCAAACACTTGAACACATTACTGAGCTCTACATGAAGAGCTTTAATGTTCATTCTACAGGAAATCAGAGCAGATCATTTCTGCTGCCATTTGTTACCTTGTAGAAACACCTGATATGGTTCAAAGTGACAATGATCAGAGAAAATGACATCTATTCTACATGGAATAGAAGTCTTTAAAGCTGCTGATTGTTCTCCTTTAATCAATCATCTTTATTGCTTCATCTCTTCCTCTGCATGTTCTGTTCTTCCTCAGAGTGTAAAGGAGACTCAGTGACACAGACAGAAGGACATGTTGCTGCTGCTCAAGGAGAATCTGTGACTCTGGGATGTTCTTATGACAGCAGCGTAACTCCAACGTTGTTCTGGTATCAACAAGAAGAAACTGGTTCTCCAAAGTACATGCTGCAACAGCTTTCATCAAGAAACATCAAAGCTCCAGACTTTAACGATGACAGATTTGACACTGACCTCGACAGCAGCAAGAAATCCTTTAATCTGACGATCCAGGATCTCCGTCTGTCAGACTCTGCTGTGTACTACTGTGCTCTGCAGCCCACAGTGACAGGAAACACCAGAACTCTGTACAAGAACCTGCAATACCCCATAACATCCACTAGAGGGCCTCACACACTGGATGTTTGGAATTTTTTTTAGCCCAAATCAACTCAGGTTCAACAGATTCATCGTAATTAAATGAAATAAACAAAATATAAATCAGAAAAAAGGTAAAGACTCTTTATTGACCAGCCTTGTGGTTCATAATGCTTCCTCAGGTATTGCTGAGTTTCCCACAGACCTGAGCAGTAATGATAAGCAACAGCAGAACCTTTCAGTTTCCACTTTGAGGAACCAAAAGGACAATAAAGCTGAGAAAAATGATTTTAGTTTTGACCAATTAGTAAAGAAACAGAGTTTGGAGAAAACAAACTTAAACTAAATGCTACAGAATTCTGATTTACAGGAAAGTTTGCTCATATTCAGAATTCAAACTTCTCAAAGTACTTTAAAAAGCAAATTATTTAATCAATTTGACTGTCTGATCTGGTTGAACTGTGTTACTATGTTTGGGCAAAAATGGCCGCTCCCAGACTCAGTGATCGCTACAAAAATTATTGTTATTATTATCTGATTACCTTTAAATTCATTAAATCCCTGCAAACCTGATCAGAATCATATGATTATTAAAATCCTTCTCTTTATTTAACCCCTTTCAATCAGTAAAATCCCGTCAAGATATTTTTTCTATATGACCATGCAGATAGTTAAAATCAGAGGAGAAACCAAAGCTTAGCCCGTCACCTTCCTTCCATGCTGTGGTTGAATCATCCGCCTGTAGAGAAATGTAACGTTTGTGTGCGTGGCCCTTAGTAGGAACTATTTCACAGAACTTTCCAAAGATTTCCCAAACCTAGAGCTAAAGCTACGCTGCATCAGTTCCATTTGGTCGGGTTTGGACCTGCTGCCTGAGCATGAAGTGGTTCCGATTCTCAGCTTCATCCGCCTTCAGAACAGGAAGATAGTAATAAAGACCAACTTCCAACTATTGACTGAAAGCCAAATAAGAACCAAGATATTTTATTCAAAACTGGACAAACAAACACATATAGTTCACATAGATGTGAGATGACCCGAGCACCCAGGTCATCTCATTGAGCCCTTCTCTGGACCAGAACCGTCTTCTCCACAGTAGAACTCCTCAAAGTTCTGCAGCAAATGTTTCTCAGGTCCAGAGGCGGTGCGGTTCTGTCCTCTGAAGTCACCCGTTCAACCAGAACAGGGCTGCTTCGCGGCATGCTGGGTCCGGATGTGACCCAGCAGACCCGATTTCTGGGTGAAACTCTTCCCGCAGGTCCTGCATAGAAACGGTTTCTCTCCTGAATGCGTCCTCACATGCCGCCACAGACTTCCTCCCTGAGTGAACCGTTTCCCGCACTCCCCGCAGGAGAAGGGTTTCTCTCCTGTATGGGTCCTCAGGTGGGACAAATACCGGCAGTGGAAGCGGAACCGTTTCCCACAGGAGCCGCAGGAATACAGACTCTCTGCGGTCCGAGTCCGTCTTTTAGAGTTTGCTGCCAACAGCTGTGAAGACGGCGTCCCAGCGTGTCCAACCAGGAAGGGATGGTGAGGTTGTGATGAGGAAGAAGGTTCTACTGCCAGAAGACCCGCAGAGAAAGCTTCCTCAGGGCTGGAAGTTCTGATGTGGCTCATTAGTGAGGATGTTCTGCTGAAGCCCGGTCCAAACCCGCCCAGACTTTCTGACCCAGAGGAACTTTCTTCATATTGTTGTTTCTTCGTCTGTGAAACATTCAAGGACCTTTCAGAAGGTTCTGATTCTACGTGGCCACCATCAGAGGTGTCAGAGTGGACCTGCTCAGGGACTGGTTCTGGTTCCCTCTGGTCACTCTCTTCATCAGAGGGAACCGGGTTAAAGTTCTGATGGATCAGCAGCCGCTCCTCCTCTGAATAGACGGAGTCTTCCTCCTGGTTCTGTTTGATCCACGGAGGTTCTGGATCCTCCTCGTCCTGTTTGATATGTAGAGACCCAGTCTCCTCCTGGTTCTGATTGATCCAAAGAGGCTGAGGTTCTTCATGGTTCTGTTTGATCCATGGAGGTTCTGTTTCCTCCTGGTCTGCGTTCCGGGTCCGCCCATGGGTCCAGATCTCTCGATCAGCCAGAACCTCCTCAGGACCATGTGGGGATTCTGTAGGAACCAGAGAAAACATGACAGAGGTTAGAAGCACCAGGTCCAGGTTCTGAAGTTCTAACCGGGATGAAGCGGGTCTCTGTAAACCCGTCACCACAGCAGAACCAGACGATTGGTTTTTGTTCCCAGAACCCGATGAGTTCTTCTTTTGGTGGTTCTGAGGTCCGGATCCGTTTTGTTCTGATCATCTGATTAGCAGCTATGATGTCAGCTTCGCCTCAGAACCAAACCAGAACCTGGTGGGTTGAATCAGAATGTTCAGCTGGTTCTCACCTGATCTGTGTGACTCTATCTCTAGTTTACAGCTGGTGTCCAGCAGTTGCTGCTTAAGGTCCAGTTCTTCCATCTGGACCGGTCCTCTGTCAGAACCTCTAGGTCTTCCTTCCATCTTTAAATTTCCTGACAGCCGGACCTCTTCCTGACCTGGTGGAGGTTCTGCTTCCTCCTGGTCCAAACTGTGGCTCCTCCCACCGGTCCAGAGCTGCGGGTCGTCCAGAACATCTTCCTCAGAGACCTTCTGCTGATGGAGTTCTGGAAGGACGACAGAATAAAGGTCAGGACTGAGACATCGGAACCTGAACCCGATTATGGATCCGGTTTCTGGACCGGTTCAGATTAGGTGGCGGAAACCGGGCCCTGTTGGGTTAGAGTACCAGACCTAGAGACGAAGGAGAAACTCTTTTCTGGCACCAAAGGAAATGGGTTTAGAGAAGAGGGACGACAGGAAACCATTTCATAGCATGCTAGCTACAGAGATACCAGTTAGCTGCTCACACTGTGCGACCCGACGCTCTGACGCGATCTACCTGCTCACACTGTACGTCTAAAAACCACAGTGGACCCAGCACTGAGACATGGCGCTGGTCGGACTCTTCAATCTGGAAGAAGAAAAGGAAGAAAAACTCGTTTTCTCAGTGCTGGAGGTTTCTCTCCACCTTACCATTCCTGATCAGGAGGCGGTCGCGAGCGGCTATTCGCCCCTCGTATCTCCCTGTATACTACACTACGCAGGACGCACCATGAGGCTGAAACTTGTTCCGATCCAAAATATTTGTGCTTGACTGAAGAATCATCCTGAAAAGTGGAAAAAGTGGTACAGCGTATGTCCGGCTTAACAGGAAAAACACCTCAGGTCTGATTTATTCAGTCAAACCTGATTACAGATTCCAGAACCTCTAAGCTGGTCTCTCTCAGCCCACAAACCCCAGAACCGGGCCTGCTGAAGGTCCGCATTAGTTTTCAATACGTGAATCTTCAGCCGGGTCACCTGAGGCAAACAGCCAACAGGACGTTCACATGGCGGGCCAACGAGCACACTTCCTGTTTCCTCTCTAAACATCAGAGGCTTAGATTAAACAGAAACATTTACAAAATAAAGATTTTATGTTTAAATCCTGAGAGAAGAAACAACAAATGAACAAACCTTCATATTTGGGGCAAAACTAGATTCATTTAAAGCAGGAGAAATATTAATATTTCAGATTTATTAAGAAGTAAAGGGCAACAATTAGAGAATCCAAAACAGATGATGTAAAATAGCTTTTTCCATAAACTTTTCAGAAAATAATTAATCGTTTCATGTATTAAAGTTTGACAGAAAGCAGGTTCTAAGACTGGTTTGCTATAAGGCAGGCCTGGGAAAAAAACAGATAAATCGATCAATTAAATATTTTTAACTTTTTGTTGCGGGTGATTTAGAAAAAAAACAATTTTGTAAAATGCTGCACTTTTGGCTCTCCAGAGCTTCCATAGCTGCAGCGTTACTCCCACAATGCAGTTCGGCAAGTGACATCATGACAACCGGTGGGAATGTGAAGTTAGTCCTGGAAAAAGGAATAAAATCATCCGTTGTTTGGAACTGGTTTGGGTTTACTGCGAACAACGAACCTCACGCTGCAACAGTTGCCTAAAGGCAGCAAATATTTTTCACTATCTTAAACTGAGGCATGAAAAATGAAAAATACCAGAAAAACCCGAACAAAGCAACACACCTCAGCTAGAAACCTGGGCTGGAAGGTGATGAAAACAAACGTACCAAACATCAACCAGAAAATTTTGTGGAAGCTTGGGTAATTAGCAACACGGTTAGCGTTAGCTATAAGGATGGGACTTTTCCCTTTAATTCAGTTTATATATATATATATATAGCACCAATTCACAACATGTGTTCTTAAGGCACTCTACAGATACATACTCTGCTGTTTTTATTACGAATTTACTGAATTGCTTTTTATCAGCAGACCTTTACGGACAAACAGAATATAACCAATCTAAGATTGGATTTATAATACGGCCTCAGGATCGCTTCAAAGGAAGAAAGTCAAAGCTTTATTCTATAAACTCTGATTTAATACGCTATTTTATATTGTTTTCATGATTTCCATTAAATGAACTTGGCGTTTGAATTGAGGAGAATTGAAGCTTTCTAAGGATGGATATCTTATATTGGTACCAGTTTAACTGGTGTTCTGGTATATGAACAGCGGAGCCACGGGAATTGGTTGGATGTTAAGCGGTTTTAATAAGTAGTTGAGAAAATCGAAAAAAATCTGCGATTTTATTTTTAGGGCGTATTGCCTTGCCATTCGTTTCAGCTCAGCGTAGCTGGAAGCAAAGTGAACCCCAGTGGGCCTCAGCAGATGGCCGCTCACACTGAGCCTGGTTCTGCTGGAGGTTTCTTCCTGTTCAAAGGGAGTTTTTCCTCTCCACTGTCGCTACAAGCATGCTTAGTGTGAGGGATTGCTGAAGAGTCAATGAGTCGATGCAATCAGCTGGTTTTCCTTAGAAAACTGTGAACCAATCTGTGTGATCTGGTTGAACTATCTGTATAAAGTGCCTGTAGATGAGGTGTGTTGTGATTTGCTCCATATTAATAAATTGAATTAAATGGAAGTGATAATCAGAATAGAATCTCAATCCCAATATTAGTTAAAAAAAAAATCACTATTTAGGCTTTTGGTGAAACTGTTCAGTTATAATCAGTCAGTTGGAGCAGCTTTAAAAAGAACAATTCAAACATGATCTGTTTGATCTTGCAGCAGGAATGATGGTTTTAGGATCATCCAGATCATGGATGCCCTCAAAGGGCTCTTTGTTCCCTAATATCTGGATAAAAACTCTATCAAATTAAATAACATCAAACAACTTTTCACATAGATCTTCACAGTCACAGGATTCCCTAAATAATCCCGGGCTCTGATTGGCTGCAGAGGAGCTGACCGTCTGCAGGCTGATCTAAGCTTCCTCTGGTCTGTCTGCTCCATCTGATCCAGACCTCCACCCATCACACCCAGCTCAGCACCTCCACCCAGAGCCAGCCGACCTGCAGCTCTTCCCTACCTGTTAGCTGCTGGATTAGCTGCTCTCTCAGGCTCATCTCCAGCAGCCGGATGCTTTTCTCCACCTCAGAGAAGATCTCCTCCGCAGCAACATCTAGTTTCTGTCTGATGAAGCCTCTGAGAGGAAGAACTGAAGCCATTGCTGCGGAAAACACGCACGTTTCCCGCCAGAACAACAAGTAAACAGATGCTAACAGCTACTAGCTGCTACATGCTAACCACTAGCAGCCATGACAGGAAGTCACGTGGTCCACCTTCAAAAATTCCAAACTTTATTGCTTCATATCCAGAGGACAATAAAAAACTATTAAATTTAAGTAAATATGAAGTTAAAATGTTAATTAAACAGAGAATTGAGGAGAAATGGCGAAAGGAATGAGAGAAAGGAAAGAAAAGCTGGTTTTATAAAATAAAAAAACTGGAGAAATGAGAAGAACAGGAAGAGAAGAAACAAGATTTGGTCAGACTGGTTTAAAGGAGGATTCCGGTTTTTAACACTTTAAGCCCATTTTCTGTAGTGTCCAGGATGAAATCGAATGATCGACACCAAAAGTTTGACAATTGCTCCTGTCTCTGCTTTTTGGCTCATGCAGAATCCCCCCCTGGTTGCTTCAGAATGGCTTCCATAGTGCATGTCCGATAATGTCCTTAAAACAACCTTAAACGTTCTTTTTTTAAAATATGCTACTCACCGGGTCGTCAGCGCTGTTCAATGACGTTCCAAAAAAAGTTTCGTAAAGAAAAAACGTTCCTGTAGTGTTTTATTTAGCATTTTGTAAATCCCAGAACCAGTGTTGTGCCTGAACGCGTTCATTGAACGAAAGTTCATGAACTCGTTCATATTTTGGGCGAACGTGAACTGAACGTACTGCATTACTGCCTGATGAACGTTATTGTGAACTCGTTCATTCTGGTGTCTGTGAACGGCACGCTCTCTCAGTTCAGCTCAGTTCAATAGGTTGCCAGATTTCTATAGAGTCCTCCAGGCGAAACCCCGGCTAAATCACACCGTAAACAGGCCTTAATATGTAGCGGGAAAAACACCCAATCTGGCAACAGCAGCTACCAGCGTCGTAGCCTACAGCCGCGTGCGTCATCAAAACAAAATGCAGCGTTGAAGCTACGGCAGCATGGAGGCGACTTAAAACAGTTTTATGACCAGGTGGTCGGTGAGGATGATGGCAACAAGTTTGCCCGCCGGCTTTCAGTAAAAAAAATCCGCACTTCAGTAACCTTAAATTCCTACCTCAGCCTGGTCCCTCAGTTTGTGTTAATAAAATCTTCTTGAGCGGAGGTCTTCAACAGGGGATCCGCGACCCCTAGGGGGTCTACGGAGGTACTGCATGAGGGTCTGCATGGTTAGTTAATATTTTTATATTCCCCCCCTGCATTTTTCCCCCCCACTAATTGAAATGTCTTTAAATACTCATTAACATGAAATCAACGCACTGTAGTTAACAGATAAATGGAGACAAAAGATGTCTTTCAGTCATCAATGCTCACATTCAGCGACACACAGGAGCTCTTTCAAGCTGGGCACCGTTTCCTTCACAACAACCAGGAATCAGAATCAGAAAAACTTTAATAATCCCAGGGAGAAATTAATTTCTTTACATTACTCCATCTGTAATAGAGTGACTATAGGACACAATTTCATACAATATATATAAATAGGGGGTCCCCGCTCCATCTCGCCATCAGTTTGGGGGTCCTTGGTCTGGAAAACATAGAAGACCCCTGTTCTTGAGGGTTTTACTATCCATGTAACTTGTTTGTTAAACCTGCCTGGTATAATTTTCCAGGATTCCAGGATTCCTTTTTAGTATGTATTGAAATGGAATTTCAAATGGAAAAAATTATTAAAAAAAAAAAAAAAAACATTTGCACCTTAAAGACTACTTTCCTATTTTTCTTGTAATAATTACTCATAAAAAAGACCATTCAAGCATCACATTTTTCCTGATGTTTTTGAGAATATACTGTAGGGATGAAAGCTGCAGCTGCTACTAGTGTGAAGTGAATGGACAGCAATAAAGCGTTAAAGCAACAATGGGGAAATGCTGTCCCCTCAATGCTAATGTAAACCCTGGTTGGATAAGGATTCAAAACTGGATATGAAGATGAAATCTGACGCACAGTTTCAGAGTTACAACTGATAAAATAATTGCTGTCTGTGGTTCTACAGTAGGCTATGGTGTAATTGAGCAATATATGAAAAAAAAAAAAAAAAGAACTATGAACTAGTTCGTTTTTTGGAATTGTGAACTATGAACTGAACTAGTTCATTTTAAAATGTGTGAACTGAACTTTGAACTAGTTCACGTAGAAAGAGAACTTTCCCAACACTGCCCAGAACTATTTTTTCCGATACATCACAACCGCTTATAAACTTCCGCTTCCCGTTCGAATCTGAAGCGTTGCACACTCCAGACCACTAGTTGGCGACGGTATCCTCTACCGTCAAACTCAAAGTCCAATATGTCCTCCTCAAGAATCCACCTTTTGTATTCCATTTTCAGAGTTTTTTAAAGTGTTTAACAGAGACGTTAGCACCTCGACGTCAGAGTACACAGAGTGAAGCAGAAACACTTGGGCCTTGCGAAAAGACTACAACTGCGTAAACAGGCCCCATTTCCGTTTCCGGAGGGATATTGACTATTCCAACAGAACTCAATGGGATTTACAAAATGCTAAATAAAACAAGACAGGAACGTTTTTTCTTTACGAAACTTTTTTTGGAACGTCATTGAACAGCGCTGACGACCCGGTGAGTAGCATATTTTAAAAAAAGAACGTTTAAGGTTGTTTTAAGGACATTATCGGACATGCACTATGCAAGCCATTCTGAAGCAGCCAGGGGGGGATTCTGCATGAGCCAAATAGCAGAGACAGGACCAATTGTCAAAATTTTGGTGTCGATCATTCGATTTCATCCTGGACACTACAGAAAATGGGCTAAAAGTGTTAAAAACCGGAATTCTCCTTTAAACAGAACTGTGTTTATCTGGGGAAACATGGGAATGATAAATGAATACTGAGGGGTAGATAAAACCATTGAACTGTAATAAATATGAGAGACAGCAATTAATTCAATAAAGTAAGTTAAATTAGATTTATTTGAATTATTTAGAAGTTTTTCAGAGAGAAACATTTACTAGATAATATTTCAATATCTAAAAATAACACCTTTTAAGATAGAATTTAATTCCTGAGTCTGCTCCACACTCCGTACCAGTAGATGGCAGAAATGCATCAATTTGTTGTTTTCCAACCGCGCAGAAATTTTAAAGAAGAAGAAGAAAACAATTAAAAACTGATGGATTAGAGATGTTAGTTCAGATTTTAATCCCAGCAGCTGTTTCTGAATCCTTCCTGTTTCTGGTTGATTTAATAACAAACCAGCTTGTTAGCGGGTATTAGTATCTATTTAAGGCTAAATTTCTTTAGTTTTTTTTATCCTTATGGAACAATTTCAAAACTACAAAACATGCATAGGTAAACACTAAGTTTCATCCAAAGAAATTAAATGAAATGAGAAAGAAAACAAACAACACAGCATGAAAAACACAAAACATCAATGAACAACAGTAGGAATGGTGCTGATGTTAAACAAACAATAATAAAACTATGAATACAAATTAATAAACACGCAGGGCATAGGTATTGGTGCTAATTTCTCTAATCCTTAAGGCATTACTTTGTTCCAGAATCCTAACCAACGCAAAAAGATGTTTTAAATCATTCTGAAATGCCTGGAAGTTTGGAGAAACCTGAAATAAAATCTAAACTTGTGTGTGTAAGATTTCCCAATAATAAACATGTTACCACACAAGAGTTCCACATCGTTTATACCAAATTTAACTTTGTTATATGCAAAATTAGGAACCAAATTTTATGTTGAGACCATTTATAGATTTTCTTCCCATAGGAGTTTGATCAGGATCTAACTGCAGCTGTAGGAAAACATTTTAAGTGTCTTTTTGACAAAAGTTGCCTTCTTCAAACTTTAATCTCCACCTTAAAAACTGTGTATGGATAAATGACATTTATTGTTTTAAAGTCACTCTTTCATCTTTGGAAACAAAGGAAATGAAGAAAAGTTGGTTTAAATTCTAATGACTTTTGATTTCTTAAAAATAAATAAATCTATAATGACACATTTCTGAGGAAATTTTTTTTTTCATCTGTTAACATTTCATAATTGCCTTTGGAATCCATAAAGTTAAATTTATCAATAAAGAGAGTTGGAAACACAGGCGTTAGATCAGAATACGGAAGCATTGCTTTGACCAGATTTAACATAACCGTAGAAATCGCCTTAACGACAGTCAGAGGCTGTTTCTGTGGATAATCCAAAATAAAAATTTGCTTTTAAAATATTCATAATCTAAAATCTCTTCCTTTGTATCCATAAGCTGCAGGATTTGAGAATATTGTTCCCAATATTCACATTATATGGAGTGAAATTGAGTTTTTGCAGCATTTCCAATAAATTAACAGATGTTTGTGTTAATCTGATGATTTAATCGGCCACTTTGCGGAATTAATTTCACATCTCAACAGAAATGTAATTTTTCCAACTCTTTGAAAAAAGCTGTGAAGGGAAATTAAACCATAAACTATTTTCCTTCCTTTGAAAGATCTGCAGCTATTTTAATGTTATTACAGCAATCATCGCCTCCAAATCAATAAGCATCCCTTCCTCTGTTACTGGTTTTACAAAATCACCGTTTCTGATCAAATGTTGCTTCTTATTGGAGATTAAATAATAGTTAATTAGGTTGATTTTCCTTATTTTACTGTTTGATATAAATAAAGTTTATGCCGGGTAAAATGGACTTGATCTTTGGTTGAACATTAGTTTTCTCCATGTCAAACTGATCCTCGTTTATCGATACACCCAAATATTTCACCATAGTTTTCACTGTGATATAATGAACTAAAGTAGACTTCTTATCATTGATCGCTGAAACTTCACATTTTCTCATTTTCAGATTTAATCCTGGAGGATTTGAGAAAAAACAAACTGCTTTTAAAGCTTCAGGGATTTGATCAGAACAATGCTGTATCGTCTGCTATCCGTTTAATGATCCGGTTTGTACCAAGAAATTTAAAATTAAGACAATTAAGTGGACTTATCTTATTTTTATTCTTCATATATGTTAATAATTCTGCAGAACTTCTGCAAACTGAAGTAGAACCAGAGGAAGTAGAGCCTCTGCAAACTGAAGGAGGATTTATTGTCTTTATTCA